TGCCTCCCCTCCCCACCCCTTCCTGCTACCTTCCCCCTTCTTGCTACCTTCCCCTCCCCTCCCCACCCCTTCCTGCTGCCTGCCCTTCCCACCACTTCCTGCTGCCTCCCCTCCCCACCCCTTCCTGCTACCTTCCCCCTTCTTGCTACCTTCCCCCTCCCCTCCCCACCCCTTCCTGCTGCCTGCCCTTCCCACCACTTCCTGCTGCCTGCCCTTCCCACCACTTCCTGCTGCCTCCCCTCCCACCCCTTCCTGCTACCTTCCCCCTTCTTGCTACCTTCCCCCTCCCCTCCCCACCCCTTCCTGCTGCCTGCCCTTCCCACCACTTCCTGCTGCCTGCCCTTCCCACCACTTCCTGCTGCCTCCCCTCCCCACCCCTTCCTGCTACCTTCCCCCTTCTTGCTACCTTCCCCCTCCCCTCCCCACCCCTTCCTGCTGCCTGCCCTTCCCACCACTTCCTGCTGCCTTCCCTCCCACCCTCCTGTACCTCACCCTTCCTGCTGCCTGCCCTTCCACCACTTCCTGCTGCCTCCCCTCCCCACCCCTTCCTGCTGCCTGCCCTTCCCACCACTTCCTGCTGCCTCCCCTCCCCACCCCTTCCTGCTGCCTGCCCTTCCCACCCCTTCCTGCTGCCTGCCCTTCCCACCACTTCCTGCTGCCTCCCCTCCCCACCCCTTCCTGCTGCCTGCCCTTCCCACCACTTCCTGCTGCCTCCCCTCCCCACCCCTTCCTGCTGCCTGCCCTTCCCACCACTTCCTGCTGCCTCCCCTCCCCACCCCTTCCTGCTACCTTCCCCCTTCTTGCTACCTTCCCCCTCCCCTCCCCACCCCTTCCTGCTGCCTGCCCTTCCCACCCCTTCCTGCTGCCTCCCCTCCCCACCCCTTCCTGCTACCTTCCCCCTCCCCTCCCCACCCCTTCTTGCTACCTTCCCCCTCCCCTCCCCACCCCTTCCTGCTACCTTCCCCCTTCTTGCTACCTTCCCCCTCCCCTCCCCACCCCTTCCTGCTGCCTGCCCTTCCCACCCCTTCCTGCTGCCTCCCCTCCCCACCCCTTCCTGCTGCCTCCCCTCCCCACCCCTTCCTGCTACCTTCCCCCTCCCCTCCCCACCACTTCCTGCTGCCTTCCCCCTCCCCTCCCCACCCCTTCCTGCTGCCTGCCCTTCCCACCACTTCCTGCTGCCTCCCCTCCCCACCCCTTCCTGCTGCCTTCCCCCTCCCCTCCCCACCCCTTCCTGCTGCCTTCCCTCCCCACCCCTTCCTGCTGCCTTCCCCCTCCCCTCCCCACCCCTTCCTGCTGCCTTCCCCCTCCCCTCCCCACCCCTTCCTGCTACCTTCCCCCTCCCCTCCCCACCCCTTCCTGCTGCCTTCCCCCTCCCCTCCCCACCCCTTCCTGCTACCTTCCCCCTCCCCTCCCCACCCCTTCCTGCTGCCTTCCCCCTCCCCTCCCCACCCCTTTCTGCTGCCTTCCCCCTCCCCTCCCCACCCCTTCCTGCTGCCTTCCCCCTCCCCTCCCCACCCCTTTCTGCTGCCTTCCCCCTCCCCTCCCCACCCCTTTCTGCTGCCTTCCCCCTTCCCTCCCCACCCCTTCCTGCTGCCTGCCCTCCTCACCCCTTCCTGCTGCCTGCCCTCCCCACCCCTTCTCCCTTCCTGCATTTACCCAGCATCTAAGCAGCAGCTCCAGGGTCCCCAGCGGTGGGCACACGGGAGCTGAGGATCCTTACTTTCCAGTGGGGGAGACAGACAAGGAAACAATCCGTGATGGCGTGTTATGGGATCTGAGGCCTGTCAGGGATTCAGCTCATGGAGTGGCCCCACCCTGATGGTGGTCAGGGCGAGGCGGGGGATATGGGAAAAGAGGAGGGGCTGCCAGGCACAAAAGGACACGTATGGAATGACTCCCATGTTAGGCCCCTGGGAAGTCAAATTCACAGACACACAAGGTAGAATGGTGTTTGCCAGGGGCTGGGGCTGGGAGACAGGGTGTTACTGTTAATGGGTAGAGTTGCAGTTTGGGAAGATGGAAAGTTCTGGAGATGGGTGGATGGTGGAGGTGGTGGTTACCCAATAATGTAAGTGTAAATAATGCCCCTGAACTTTATACTGAAAAAGGGTTTTATGTTATGTGTATTTTACAATTAAAAAAATGAGTTGATGTAAAGAAAAGAATTAAATACAGATGATGTGGCCTAAAGCAAGGTGGTACGTGAAGCCCACGTTGGAAATCACTGTCCCCGCCTCGGCCAGTGTGGTTAGTTGGGTACAGTGTACTTGCATGCAGATCAGAAGCCTCCTTTGAACACTAAAGGTTTTCTGTTTTTGTTTTTTAAATTTTTTCCCTTTATTGATTTTAGAGAGAGGAAGGGAGAGGAAGAGATAGAAACATCAGTGAGAGAACACTGATTGGCCGCCTCCTTCATGCCCCTCACTGGGGACTGGGCTCACTCTGGCATGTGCTCTGACCAGAAATCGAACCAGCGACCTCTTGGTACATGGGTTGACCCTCAACCACTGAGCCACACTGGTCGGATTGTTTTTGTTTTTTAATTTAAATTTTCCATTTATGGCCCTGGACGGTTTGCTCAGTGGTTAAGAGTATTGGCCTGTGGACCAGTGAGTCTCAGGTTCGATTCCATTCAAGGGCACGTACCTCGGTTGTGGTTCATCCCCGGCCCTGGTCGGGTTCCTGTGGGAGGCAACCAGTCGATGTATCCCTCTCACATCGACGTTTCTCTCTTTCCCTCCCATTCTACCAATAAATGAAAAAAAAAAAAAATCCTCAAGTGAGGATTTAAAAAAAATTGTCATTTCTGGGCAAAAATGGATACACTCTGTGGTGGATAAGCAGGTAAAGAGAAGTGTGACGTTTGTGAAAACCCTTTCCGGTGCTGGTCTGTTTTCTCGCGTCACCCTAACACTGCGGTGCGGGCTGAGAGCAGGTTCATGGGAAACCAGCCCTGCCAGTGCGGGCCCACCAGCCCTCTGCCCGCCACCGCCGCTGAGCTCCCTGGGGCGCCCCTCACTGCCTCCCACTCAGCCCATCTCACCTCTGCCCAGCGGGCACTGCAAAGAACCCCACTCACTGGGAATTTTGCATCTGCCGGGCATTCGTTGGGAAAACGTGAGTCGTAGCTCAGTTGGTACCTGGATAAGGGACGTCTGGTGCCTCAGAGCAGAGCACACTCCAAAGCCAGGACGGCAGTGGGCACTGGGCACTGGATGGCACGCCCGCTCTCCCGGCTCGTTTGTCACGTGAAAACAGACGTAACACCCTCGCCACGGAAAACTCGAAAGTGCAGAGGAAAGAAAACCCATCACCACAAAGCACCAGTCACGGCGCCGCCCAGAACCAACCACAGCTCACATTCGGGTCAGTACCTTCCACAACTCATTTTAAAATGGGTTTCACAATAGTTTTATCACCTGGTTTGCAACTCAGTATACTGGGAACATTTTCTCTCTCACAACAGTTAAAATAGCTGGTATGGAATAAGCATAACTGATTAAACACTCTTGTTGGGGCAAATGAAATACAATTTTTTCCAGAGACTTTATTCCCTTTACAATGCCTTCTGAAGAAAGGGGTATTGTCTTTTATAGTTTTCTATAGAAAGTTGCCCTTCGATTTAGCTTTTTAGTTGCTTCTCTGTGCCCACTGAATCATCAATCGAGTAATCCATTTTATTGTTTGTTTCTCCCATTTGCCTCCTCTCTGCCTGGTGTCCCTGCCACATGGAACTCTTCTCTTCGGTCCTCCACCCTAGTATCTGCCCGGCCCTCTCATTTGCTCCCTAGACACACCGTCTGAACGGACTGTGAATGACTCTGCCTACTCAAAGCTTTATTCTCCGTTCCACATTACATTAGCTTTTAATAATCTGAAGATAAAATTCAACTCTTTAAAGGAAAATGTAAAGAAGCTCTTGGTAGAATTAGATGTATCAAGAAACATAGGACTTGGGTACCACGTAGATATGGCTGAGTTTTTCTTTTCTATCCTTACCCGAGGATATTTTTCCATCGTTTTGTTCAGATAGAGTGGGAGGGAGAGAGAGGAAGAGAGAAACATCGACGTGAAAGGGACACATCGAGTGGCTGCCACCCACGCACAACCAACCAGGGCTGGGGACAAACTGCAACCGAGGTACATGCCCTTAGCGGGAACCGAACCCGGGTCTCTCTGGACCGCAGGCTGATGCTCTACCCGCTGAGCCAAACCGGCCAGGGCTATGGCTGAGTTTTTCTAAAGGAAGTTTTACTGGAGAAGAAAGGGCAAGAGGTAGGTGCAGGCAACTCTCGGTGATGCTTTGCTTTATTGTGCTTCACAGATAGTGTGTTTTTAGGTTTTTAACACAATAATAACAAGACCCTCCACCCATGTCTGGCCTGTGTGACTCAGTGGTCCAGCATCGACCCAGGCACCAAGAGGTCACTGGTTCGATTCCCGGTCAGGACACATGCCCAGGTTGTGGGCCTGATCCCCAGTGAGGGGCGTGCAGGAGGCGGCCAATCGATGTTCTCTCTCATTGATATTTCTATCCCTTTCTCCCTCTCCCTTTCTTTCTCTCTAAAATCAATAAAGGAAAAATAAAAAATAATTTAAAAAAAAGACCCTCCACCCACAAAGAGTACGACTTGCCGAGGCTCAAGTGATAGTTGGTGCTTTTTAGAAAACAAAAAAAAATTTTTAAATTAAGGTATGTCCATTGTTTTAGACATAAAGCTATAGCACATGCAATAGGCTACAGTATAGTGTAAACATGACTTTTATATGCACTGGGAAACCAAACAATTCATGTGACTCGCTTTATTTTGATCTTCGCTTGACTGCGGTGGTCTGGAACCAAACCTGCAATACCTCTGAGGCATGTTAGGGACCATGATGGAAATCTATTTGCCACTCAAGGCAACTAACAAATGACCATCTCCCAGGATATTGAAGGGGCAGTCTTTACAGGTCATGAAATTTGCATGACAAACGTTGCACGAAAATGCCGATGAATACTAATTCTGTGCAGCAAGGCAGATGGCAGCCAGCATCAAGGTGGTGCATGCCGATGGCGTTCGTTCTGGAGTGCCGGAAGCTGCGAGGCGCTCATCCATCACGTGGCCATCTGGAAGGCAGGGGCATTTGGTCATTAAAGGAAATCCCTCCGGCAGTAGGTCCTGCTGCCCACACACATGGCACATCGACATGAGCCAGAAATCAGTTGGGGCCCAACATTTGATGCGTGCAGGGTGCTTAGGGGATCAACAGTACTGTCTGCATGAATTCAGACTCCTGAAAAACAGCTTTCAACAAAAGTTGCCACAGGCCGACTGTGAACTGGCTCTTCCCTGGACATGTGCTCTCAAACCTGTTCACCTACCCCAGCTGGTGACCCCTTCAATCAATTGCAGGGGTGCAGCAGAACTTAGCTTTTGATGATCAGGACACAGCATGTTTTGGATCCCAAATTGCAGGGAGAAAATATGGTTCCCACCCATCCATTCAACTCACATTTTCAGTGGCCTGTCCCGGGCCTGACACTCGGGATGTAAATGGGAAAGACACAGTCCCCACCTGGGTCGGGGGTCCCACCTGGGTTGGGGGTCCCATCTTGTTCTCAAGAGAAGCAACTGCTTTCGCCTACTTCCTGGACTGGAGCATTTTCACTTTCTAATATCTGGGGGGTCAGAACCACAGAGGCTCTGAACTTGGTGGACCTAGAAGTCTGGCTCAGGATGGGGAGAGAACCTCTCTTCTTGTCATCACTCTCCTCAAGTCACTAAAAATCAACAAGGTGAAAGGGTTCTCAGACCAATCACCAGGGGTGTCTGTGCAGGGCCCTTTCATGACCCCAAAGTTCCTAAGGAACGAGAGACAGTGGGCCCAGCCTCAGGTGTAATTTAAGGGCATTGACTGGAGTTGGGTGCCCCCACCCTGCTGCTGGGGTGGGTACTAACTGAGCAGCCCCCTGGAGCTTGGTGCTTTTTTGTTTTTTGGTACGTGCCCCTAGCGGGAACCGAACCTGGGACTCTCTAGTCTGCAGGCCGACGCTCCAACCGCTGAGCCAAACCGGCCAGGGCTGGAGCTTGGTGTTTTAAGAGGCCGAACCTTTTTCTTGTTTATTTTCCTCAACAGACATTCATCCTATAAAATAGCAAAGAGACTTGAAATAACTCTCCATCCAAAAGGCAGCTCCGCTAGTGACACTGAGGGCGTAAATATCAAGGATGCCAAGGTGACTATGCCATCTGGGTCCTTGATGCATTTGCAAGCAGAACTGTGCCAACCACAGGTAAGACAAGGGACCCCTTTGGCTAGGTGCACACAGGTGACAACTGAAAGGGCAGCACACTCACCACATCCCGGGAGAAACGTCTGAGGGAAGCAGCGCAGCCCGCCGCGCCAGCACTTGCACACGGAGCACTTTCGGGGCAGCCAGGTGTCGTGGGGCACTGACCCACAGTTCCTGAGAACAAGGGTAAGCAGGTGCACACCCATTTAAAGTCCCCGCTTCTCCTTCCCTCTCCTCCCCACTGCACCCCCTTTGAATGGCTTACTCTTTGCGCCTGTCATGTTCACAGTTCCGTCCATAGAAGGAGGGGGGGCAGGCACAAAAGGACCCCAGCATGCAGGTTCCCCCATTCAGACAGCAGGTTTTGTTGAGCTCCTTACCTGAAAAGTGAGAGGTGGCTGAGAGGGTGGAGGGATTGAAAAGCTGAGTTCCTGTTAGCAAAGGTTAGTACAGAGCCAAGGACGTAGTCTTCCCAAAGTGTCAGTGGATGTCTAAACATTGCAAACCTCACAGAGTACGACTCTGGTTTTTAGTGTTCCTTTTGCTACCCATGCCTCTGAGCAGAGAACAGTTTTTCACAAAGGCCAGTGGTGGCTCCCAGAGTCCCCAGCGTGAAGTAGAATCAGGTGAAGGCAACTCCAGGGACGTGAAGTACACAATGCCTGTCTCGCCTCTATAATGAAAACCTGTCCAACCATCTGCCCAACTCCAGAAGCAGGTTCCCACTCTCGGGTGAAAGAGGATCAAGATAGGACACACGTGGAGGACCAGGACAGTGGTATCACCCACAGTGCAGATCTAAGGCAGGTGGGTCTTACTGGCCTGGATTCTCATGGGTGGCACAAACTGGAAAGGCTGCCGACGAACTGTAGGCTCCTTCTGGGGCCAAAGGCTGTCATCTCGGAAGGCCAGGTCTCCCTGTGACGGACGTGCAAGTTCATGGTGGCCCAGCCCTTAATGACAAAAATCAACTCGTGGAGTGTGTGTTTCAGGCCACATAAAAATTGCTAGTGATCCAAAAAACCAAAAGGCTCTTACCAGCAACTAATTCCAGTTCAAATGCTTTAGAAATGGCCACGATCAAAATCACCCTTGGAAGAGGAAATCAGACGTTGTTAGCAAAGCAAATAAAACCTTCCGAGTTAACACCTGGGTGTTCCCATCACAAGGACAAGATGGGTTCATACCTGGAAGAGAAGCACTCCATCTTCGCGGGGCCCATAGTTCCTAACAATTCAGGGGCACAATGTTAGCGGGGCTTTAATTCAGTCATTGCCAAAACACCCAAAGGAAAATACTGATGCCCTGACATGGAAATGGGAATTGAAAAAGAAAAATATGCCCTGGCCGGTTTGGCTCAGCGTTGGCCTGCGGTCCTGAGAGACCCGGGTTCGGTTTCCGCTAAGGGCATGTACCTCGGTTGCAGTTTGTCCCCGGCCCTGGTTGGTCGTGCGGGTGGCAGCCACTCGATGTGTCCCTCTCACATCGATGTTTCTCTCTCTCTCTCTCTCTCTCTCTCTCCCTCTCCCTCTCCCTCTCTCTCCCTCCCATTCTATCTGTACAAAAAATGGAAAAATGTCCTCAGGTGAGGATGAAAAAAAAAAGAAAAAGAAAAATATCCCAAATGAGGAATAAGCATTTCCCAGGTTTTAGGGGAAGCGGGAACCAGGAAGGGGGGTGGGGTGCGCTCATCATAACCTTGTGTCCCATTCCTTAGCCAGGGACTCAGCTTCCCCAAGTTCCTTCCTCCCCTCAGGTGGGGACCTCCAGGTGACAGGGCTTAGGCGGCTGTGGAGGTGAGAGGCGGAGAAGCCACCAACCAGAGTGGAAAAGGCTGAGTTTTGTAAAACTGTGGTTAACCAGGCCTAATGGGTCCAACATTAGTTTCGGGCTAAAAGCATCAGACTTACTTAAAAAAAAAAAAAGAAGTAAATTAATTATACTATCCAGTTTGTGAGTCCAGGTTGGAGCTGGTGGAAAGTAATTGCTTTAATCAGGAAATTCTAAACACCACGGAGGGGGCTCCCAAGGCGTTTGATATTTTATTGCCAAATTTTACTCTTGAAATTTGCTTTCTTCTTTGTTTTCCGAGAAAGGTGTGTTGAGCCCCGCGCTCGGCCCTGGGCTCACTCGGGCGGGGAGCGAGCTGTGTGGGCGGCTGGGCTAAGGGCTGGGCGGCCCACAGTGGGGCTGGAAGTTCAGGGTCAGGAGGTCGCCGAGGGGCTCCTGGCCCCGGTGACAGGCGAATTCCAGGACTGGGAGCGCAAGTGGCGGCGGGAACGAAGCGAGGGCAGGTGCGCTCCCGGCGGACCGCGGGCCGGGGCGCTCCCCCTGGGGTCTGCAGTCGGGGTGCCAGGCCTGCCCCAGGAAAACGTTCTGGAAACTTGGCAGTCCGGCCTGGGAGGCCTTTCAGCTCGGCCCCTGGCTTTTGCTGGGATTTATCAGCCTCCCAGAGCCCACCGTGCGGCCCCTTGCAGCCCCCGCTTCCGCGACACCAGAACGAACCCCAATGCGCAGGGGTCCCGCGGTACCCCCAACGAGTGTATCTGGGGGTCACCCCGCAGCTGGCGGGACGCCCACGCCCGACGCAGTGCTCGATATTTAAGTCGTTACTAAATACATCCAGCTAAAGTCAAAGCCTGGCGCTGCCCTCACGCTGCCAGCCGCACAAGGGGGACGCTGTTGTCAGTCCCCCCACGTTCCCCGATTCACGGGGGCGGGGGGAGCCGCAGCGCCAGGCCAGTCCCGCGACAGCGTCTGCCGCGTCACCGCGCTAGGGCCGGCTCTTCGCTTCTCCACCTGCATCTCGGGGGAGGCAAAATTACTCTTACGGGGGGCGGGGCCCCAGGAGAGCAATGCGCGGACGCAGCCCGTTGGCCCGTCGCTAGCAGCTTGTTCAACGGCGCGGCCGGGGCATTCGGTTCCCTCCGCGCTTGAACTCGCCTTGAGCTCCCCGCGTGGCCTCTCGGCTCCAGATGGCGAGCCGACAGTCCCGAGGGACGGGGACTTGGCCCCAGGCTCTGGAAGCCGGATTGGGGGTGGGGGTGGGGGCGGTGCATAGGAGGCTACCCACCACACAAACCCAGGACCCGCAGGGAGGCTTAAAGAAAACAGAGGAAATTCTTGGGGGAGCGGTGAGGCCTCAAAACCCACGTGGAAGCCTGGGCAGGAGGAGTGTCACTTCGTGGACGAGCCCACTCGTGCCATTTGTGCGTTGCAGTGTCTTCTCCACGGAGGCCTGCGGCCAAACTCGCAGCACCGGCACCTCCTTATCCAAAAAGTTGTGGAACTTTTAGAACGCGAACTAGGACCCCTGGCAAAGGCCTCCCCATTTTCAGAGGAAGGAACCGAGACCCCGAGTCTGGTGATGGGTGAGTTCAGCCCACAAGGCCAGGCTGCCGGCCTTCCTCCACACCAGATCCCTTATCTGAGGACAGAACTCACAGACAAGACCTGCAGGGGCGGAGAAAGTCAAGTGTATGCAGGGTGGACAGAACCTGGGCCAGGTTTCGGGATCGGGGGCGGTAGTGTTTGAGGGGCCAGGTATTCGCCATTGGGCTGGGGACCCACAGGCTGTTCACTGAACAGGTATCGGATGCCTTTACTTTGTTGCCTGTCAAGGGCTGGGCTCTGGGGACACAGTTGTGAGAAGTGACCCCATCGTGCGTGTGGTGGGGGAGAAAGAAGGACGATAATCAAAGACTGCAACTGTGGTAGCTGCTAAAACTTGCTTCTGCCGCTGAGTGGGGGAATTGACTGGTGACTCTGGAAGGGCCACTGGATACCTCAGCTCGGCCACTGCTGGAACCGACAGAGGCCACCTATCCTCCAGCCAGTGAGCTCTGTGTGTTGGAGACCCACGAACACCACACCTGGGGCTAGGACGCACTGTGGAACGGGGGTTCCCCAGTCCCTGGCAGCCCCCTCCTCCCTTAGGGGCACTGAAGAGTGAAAGTGAAAAACAGATGCTCTTGGCCTCGGGACCTTTTCCTATCGCTCTCCGAAGTGTTGTGCATTAAAAACTGGGCCAGAGAGAAAGAATTGTGTTTTTAAAATCACACAAATAAGCATTTGACCTAAAACCATCCAACCAACCATGAACAGTCAAACCAAAAAACATCATAGTCAAAAGACCGACTTCCAGAATCTTGTCTGAAATTCAAGGAAGAAAGCACATTTGGAAATGGGATAGATGTTAGCTTGGTCACGAACATACACAGCTAAGTCCCAACTAAAGAGTTAACCACAGGACAACCATTCCTGCCATACACTGACCGGGTTTTTAGGTAAAAGGCCACTTTTATCATAGAACTCCAGGGACGCATTGTGTCTTACCTGTCATTGTTCCCGGAGCATCCAGGCTGGCCGGGCTGGGGAATCCCTCCAGCTGAGGGTGGCAAGGCCTCTAATCCCACCAACCTCAGCACCCAATAGCTAGAGATAAAACCTCGCCCATTCATTAACAAGTTAATGGCTTTCTGTTCTCGCCAATGAACTTAAATAGCGACTGGAAACCTGGTCTGCATTTGCCACAAATATCTGTGTGGGGTTTAGAAGAATGGATTCTTGCTCTCACAAATTTGCAATCTCAGTGGGGAACACAAGTTCTATCCAGTCACTTAAAAGCTATATTGTTATATAAACTGGGTAGGAAGGAAGAGAAGGGTTTAGGAGAGGACTCCATCTGTGTGTGGGGGCGGGGTGGGGTGGGGAGTGGGGGTGTATTATATGAATTCCTCTATAGACACAAATTATTTAATTATGAATGGACACTTGGCATGTTTCTGCATTTTGCAGTGAACTCCCGTGGATCTGCATCCTGATGGAGGTTTCAGAGTATATCCAGCTGGTAAATTTCTAGCGCTGGAATTGCTTGGTTAAAAGGTGAACCTTTCTAAGTTAATTTTCCAAGAAGGCTGCATTGGTCTCCTTTCCTCCTCTTTCTTCCCTCCCCCACACATCCCCCATATCCTTACCCACTGGCTGCACCGCCTCTTAATTTTTGCTACTTCTGTCTGTGAAAAACGTATTCCATTGTTGTTTGAATTTGCATTTTTTCCCTATATTTTATGGGATGCTGATGCTGTCGACCCTTGAACAACATGGATTGGAACTGCACAGGTCCACTTGTATGTGGGTTTTTCTCAGTAAATTCTGCAATGTATTTTCTCTTTCTTACGATTTTCTTAATTACATTTTCTTTTCTCTAGCTTATTTTATTGTAAGAATCGACTATATAACATACACAATATGTGTTAATGGGCTGATTTTGCGATTGGTAAGTTCCGGTCAATAGTTGGCTACTGATAGTTAAGTTTTTGTGGAGTTGAAGGTTGTATGTAGATTTTCAACTGGGCTTGAAGGTCAATGCCCCCAACCCCTTTGTTGTTCAAGGGTCAACTGTATTTCTTTTTTGATGACTTGGCAGGTAGTTCTTAGAGGGAACTTGGCTTCTTTTGGGGACTCCGCCCAGAGGCCATGTCCTCTGGGAAGCCCTTCCTGACACCGGCCTCCCTTCCCGGGTTCCGAGGCTCTGCTGCCCCATCCCGGCGCCGTGGCCAGAACTGACCTCATCTGGTCAGCACTGGCTTGTAAACTGCTTGTTTTCTGGCGTTTCACCAACCCTACCCCCTGCCCTTTAGCCCCCGGACCTGGTGGCCCAGAGACCTGGTCTTCCGGAAACCTCAGCTTCCTCGGGCGCCAGTGCAGCGTCTGGCTGTGCTGGCTTCCTCGTGCTGAGCCAGTCCGACTGGTGGCGATGGCTTCTAAAGGGGGGGAGGGGTGGGCGAGGGCTAGGCCTTGGAAAACAACTCTTTCCTATTCTGAGCCAGGAAATACAACAAAGAAGGAAAGAGAAACAAATTCCAAGAATTCCAAGCGATGGCCAATTCAGGGCAGCTTGTTCAAGAGAGTTTACTGTGTATACAAGACAAGATCATCTTGATGTAATCATGGGAAATCATGTTAGGGTGGGACAAGTCTGATTTAGACTTTTAGACATGGCTATGGTCTAGAATTCTTTCTCACCAAAATGTGTCTCCTTCCAGCCAAATTCCACAAATATTGACTCGCCAGCTATTCTGTGCTGAGCCCAGTGAGGAGCCGGAGCTCTCCAAGACGGCTCTCCCCCCCATCCCCCCGTAAGATAAGCCCAGTAATCTGTGCCAAGTGCCATTTTAGTGATATCAAAAAACTGCTAATTGGGAG